CCTATATCTTTGGGAAACTGTCTATTCAGATCTCCTCATTTTTTGTCTTCTGACCTGAAGTTACTCTCATCCTTTTCCTATAATATTGCAATTGTGTCCTTATGTAGGTAAGTGCTGTGCATTTAGAGAGGTTTGTCTTATTTATTATTCCCCATAGCTTTTGCCATATTTGGTCCAAAGGACATAAAAACATGTTAAATATTGAAATTTTTTTTTCTCGCTTTTAAATTGGGTTGCTTATCATCATCATCTTATTGAGTAGTAAGAGATTTTTATAGATACAGCTCTATCGTTGGCAAAGTATCTTGCAAATATTTTTCTCAGACTGTGCCCTGCATGTTAATGAAATCTTTGAAGAACAAATGTAAATGATGTTGAAGTCCACACCATTGATTTATAAACACATCATACTTTGTCTTTTGTATTTTTAGGTAAGAAATTATTTCTGAATCCAAATTACTAAGAGTCCCTCCAATAGTTCAGATTTCATCATTAAAATTGAGGTTTGTTTTTCATTGAGTTTATATTTGTGTGAGATTAGGGTTATTGTCCATTTTTGTGACTATGGCTCTACTATTATAATGTAACATTTTAAAAATATCCTTTCACTATAAAAAAATTGACTTTTGTCAAAAGTCGCAAAAAATAATCTATGTATGTTTGAATAATTTCTGGACTCTCTTGTCTGTTTTGTCTAGAATTATGACAATATCATATTGCTTTGATTACATAGCTTTATCGTAATTCTTGGACTAAAGTACTATAACTTTGTTCTCTTGATTTCAGAAAAGCTGTTTTAACCACCATAATTCTTTATTTCTATATAATATTTAGAATCAGCTGGACAATTTGAATGACAATGACAAAATGCCTTCTGAGATTTTTAATAGGATTGTACTCAAGATATCAATTTTCTCCAAGGTGATGAATTGAGTCTTTTAGTCCATTAACATGACTGTTTAGGGTTTTTTTTTTAATTCCCTGAGTAATATTTCAAATCTTTTAGCTAATAGGACTTGTGTATTTTTTTTTTTTCAAATTTATCACTATGTATTTTAAGTTTGAATTCTAGTGTGATAGTGACACATTAGAAATTGAAACAAAACTATTAAACAGATAGGACTTTAACGTTTTAATCCTGAAACCTTGTAATCAGTTTCCTAACACTTCTGTAGATTCCATCTGCATAGATGAAAAAAAGGTCTTTACAAACAGGTTCATCAAACTTTCCCAATCGAAATGATTTAATCCTACTTTTCTTATTGCTTTGACTCTCTATCCACCCTTCCAACTTCTTTTCAAGGGTGTACTATTCTTTGTCCCTGCTCTTAGGAACAGAATGTTCAGTTTTCACAATTATGTATATTTTTAAAGCTCTTCTTTATCATGCTGAGTGCCTTCTATGTCTAGTACTTGAGTTTAAATCAGAAATAAGATTTTATTAAAGTTTTTCATAAACTTCCAAACTAATAAATTTTAACCTATTAAATGATAAAAAAAAATAATAATTTTAAAATACAGAAACAACTTGTATTCCTTGCATAAACTCTAGTTAGTTGTGAAGGACTGAACTCTTTAATATCTTGCTGGATTTTATTTCCTAAATTTTTATTAAGAATTTTTGCATCACAATGATGACATCATAATTTGAATATATTCCTTTCCTAAAAATAAGGCATGTGCTGTACCTGAATAACTTTAATATGAAGGAGAAACACCTAAAATGTTCACTTAAATGATTTCCATATTACAAGGTCAAAGATGCCATAGTTGTTGTTAGTAACAAAATACAAATCTCCCTCTGTGATTCTGACATAGATGGTCCATATTCTGAGAATTCAGTCTTCAAAGTTGAGAGTTTGAATAATTCAAGGAGAACTAGTATTTTATGTTCAGAAAGAGAAATGGGTACAGATGCAGTTAATTTTGTGTTAGAAAAGTGGCTTCATTTTTCTTATGACATATACAGACAATGTGAGCATGGAAGGATGTGCCTGATGTTTGAATAGTGCTGGGGTCTGCATGGACCCAAAACTCTTGGTGAGATGGAAGAACTATTTCACTAGATATAATTTTGAAATGAATCTAGGAGTATAAAATAATTGTGGCTGCAAAGTAAAATGTTTTGTTTTTAAATTTTCATTTTTTGTGTGATGACAAGCTACAACCTAGGTAACAGAGGCCGAGTTGTATTGTGCTAGAACCCTGGTATTGATGAGGTCACAGAGTGCATGATATACTACTTGCTTGCATATGGAAATTCTCTTTCCTGAGTGATGTCAATCATAGTAGCAGAAAGATGAATGGGAGGCAGACAGCCAAGAACCAATCAGACTCAGAAAACCATCCAGGGACATCTTTATCTTGGAAGCCAACGGGGCCACAGGAAAGCTCAAATGGATATATATTTATTTTTCCAGCTCATTATTATGAACCCTACCACACTTTCAAAATCATATGTCCTAAAGCCATGGAATGCCTTTTGATAATGAAATTTATGATTCTGATATCGATATATGAGTTATGATTTAGCCATGAAGATGCAGGAAAAGAAAAAATAGCAACCATTTATCCTATAGAACTTGGCAAAGAAATTGAATCAAAATAACTTCTTCATGTTTTTTCCTATTCTTGACAGGAACAAAAACGTTGGCTTTGAAAGTATCTTACCAGTTTGGGAGGACAAAGATGGAGAGTGTTGCTGCTGTGCCCTGCTAGCATCCATTCTAATTCTGTTTTTCACATTCACAGAGAGTGAAGAAGTTTATCAAAGGCAGGTGCTGTCAATTTCATGTATCATCTTTGGAATTGTCATCGTGGGCATGTTCTGTGCAGCATTCTACTTCAAAAGCAAGTAAGACCATTTCTCTCAAGTGTTAAAAGGTTATTTCTCAGAGCACTTTGTCTTTCTTTATGTTCTCAGTCTCTGCTCCAAGCAGAGGGATCCTGGGCAAATGGGTTCATTAACCATCTGCAAATGACTCAGACCTCTTAGCAGACTGCAGGGAGCATGTGAACTGGGTGTGTATGTCTGTATGGGGAGTGGGAGTTATCTTTGCACATAGCAATCATTTGTACTAGTTGATTACCTGCCTGCATTAAAGGCTTAGTGTCTGCCTGTCACTAAAGTACTGACTTCAAAACAGGGGAGTTAATGTTTAGTGTCACAGCAGTATCAACCATTACCTAGCCTTTCCTGAAAGAAACTACAGGAAAAAAAAATCTCTCCTGCTATTTTTACCTGATACTCATAAAGGTTTTAGGCAAATATGAAGAATCCTAAAAAAAAAAAAAAAATGTATTAGCTCACCAGTTGACATACATATGTTGAATTTGCCCTGAAGTTCATTTGTCAAGACACTGGACCTTTGGCAAATGAAGGTACTTACTTTTGACGAATAAAGGAGAATAAAATACATCTATATACACACACAAGTGTTTGTGTATGTATTTTTTTTCCAAATTAACTCTGATAGTTATTTTAAGTGCAGATTACATCATTTCCCTAAATAAGAAATGCAGATGAAAAGGCTAATGTTTTTAATTCTTGAGCCTTCAAAAGTTGGCTCAGATTTTACTCCTACAGCTTGTCTGGAATCGAAGCCAACATGAAATTGCTTTTTATAGGAACTATATTTTTCTAACCATTTGCTCTTCTAAAAATGAATCTGTTTCCAGGTAAAATATATAATACCTGTCTGCATGTTGTGTATGTTAATTTAAAAAATAATTACCCCTTAAAAATAAATGACAAACTCAGTAAAAATTATTTTAAAATTATTTCAGGATTGCTATTAAAATAGTACACAGAATTCCTATACAGCCTAGACCCAGTTTTTTCTATTATTAATATATGGTGCATCTGTCATAATTTATGGAATAATATTGATAGAAAGTCCATACTTTCAGATATCTGTAGGTTTTTGTTTGTTTACCTACTATCTTTTTCCTTATCCCATGACCTCATCCAGAACACTATATTTTATTACCCAAGATATGCCAAAGAAATATGATAGCTATGACAATTATAACTTCCTGAAATGGAAAGTTAGAACTCTTTGTCAGGCACACTGAGCTTTTCATCAACCTGGAAAATACAGTATTAGTCAGCTTTTCATTACTATAACAAAATACCTGATAGAATCACCTTATGAAGAGAAAACAATTATTTTGGCTCACAGTTTTGTAGATTACAATCCATGATTAAATTACCCATCACTGCTTTTGGTCCTCATGCAATACATCATGGTAGGAACATGTGGCAGAGAAGGTCTGTTTCTCTTATGCTGAACGTTGGAAAAGAGGAAGGAGTGGAGTCCCACTCTCCTCTCTGAGGGCATTGCACAAGGCCCCACCTCTCCTAATAGCATCAGTTAGGAGACGACCCTTTATCTGTAAGCTTTTGGGAGATATTTCAAATCCAATATAGCAGATGATATTTCAAAATAAATTTTAATATTAACTTTTCAAAACAGCAAGGTAGAAAACTGCAGATACAGGGCTCTGAATCCCAGTAATTTAAAATAGGTTTTGTCAATTACATTTTTGTCAAAAGTGTAATTGACAAAGCCTATTTTAAATTACTGTGCCATATTGGCTTATAAAGTCCTCCAAATGATGAAACTCCTCAGAGAAACTTAGGATTTCCCTCTCTGGGGGAGCCTCTAGCACTTTAGGGAGGTCACAAGGCTGTAGTGGTCAGGATTTTACACCAATCAGCCACAGTGGGAGTTTCTTAGCCTCAGTTTCCTTTTAGGTGAAATATGCACCAAAACAACATCTACCTTACAGAAGCACATTAAAGACTGAATGGGATAATGCTATACAGGTCACAGCACAGTGTTTGAAAGATTAAATACTCCACAACGGCTCAGTATTTTTAACACCTATAGTTTTCCACTCCAGGACTTAAAGACTATGTTGCTACAAAGTTAAGAGCATACACCAGAGGATGTGAAGGATAATCACACCCAGCAGAGTGTTAGAAGGGTCTCCTGGTAAGAACTGAAGATGAGAAAGAAATAGTGTATTTAACAATAAGCAAATTACTATGAAGAAGCAGTTAATCACTTATTTTTAGAGTATAATTTGTAGTTGTACCACATTTAAGTAAAAGACTGATTATGGTAATCACAAGAATGGAGAACAGCTGGATAACTAAAGAACTTCTGTCTTTAGGGCTGTCAGTCTCACACTCTGGGCCTCCAGTAGGCTCTGAGACCATCATCTGTTCCTTGGGCTCAGGGAGGGTTCAGGGAATTTATTGGAAACACCATTCAATGCCAGGTTCTTCATGGGAATCTCAGAGGACCAAGCAGGTGGAGGAGTACTCATTGGAATATTTTCCTTCTGTCTGCTCACCCAGGACACATTTTTTGAAAAAATATAATGATAATAGTGATGCCTTTCCAACTGGAATGCCATTTCTCATTAGAGACCTAGAGTTTATATTTCCTTCTCTTATAATTTCTGGCATAGTCTTCCTTTATTTTTGACAGAAATGCCTTGCCCCACCCCAACCACTTAGTCTACACTGCTGAAAACAATACTGATTTTTGTAAAACCCTGGCAAAAACTTCTTTTGTGAATTCTTGGATTTGTGTTTACATTTTGGAATGTTTTGCTAAAACAGAATAGGCACCCACCGACTTGATCAGCCCTTGCTTTCATGCATAAAATATGTTTATTTACATGTGATACTTTCTTTTGATTCCAGTTTATGGCCCACAAGTATTCCAGTATTCAGTGGCCTATCACTGGTACCCAAATAAGTCCATTGGTAAACTGGGATATAGCATCCTGGCCAGGGAGAGTTGAGACTTACCACAAAGCTCATTCTCAGAGTTGTTTATGATATACCTTGCATAATCACTCAGATTTTGCCACTCTTGTCCTTTCCTCATTATGTGGCATAGCACAGCCCCCTCAAAAGAAATATTACAGCAACATGTCAAGCTAGAAATGAAGCATGTCTTCTTGAATTTGGAGGATTTTTCTGATGGAATTAATCAAATGCCACAATGCCAAAAGAGTAGAAAAAATTCTCATTATGTCTAGTGAGCCCATATGTATTTAATGCAAATATTAATTTAAGCATGGCCAATACGGTTCAGATGGAAACTATCAATTCTTAAGGGGTTTCTCTTTACTTCAGCTTACTTAGGTAAGAAGGATGAAATCAGCTATAGGAGTTTTTAGTAGAATATGGAAATGACTAACTTAAATTTGGGGTAGGAGAGAAAAAGTTCCTGACAGCAAAACCTGAAATGGATGGTAATCAAAACTGGGAAAACAATAGGAAAAATTAGTAAAGGTATTACCAGTAGCAACATGCCTCTTCCTATAGCTTATCACCTATTCAGTAAGAGATTTTGCATCATCAGGATGTGCTGATATGCTATTTGACCTCAGACCCTGAGCTGCCTTTCTTGGTGACATGCCCTGTTCTGAGATAATCCACCTCTGACGACACATCAGCGTAGGGCTCACAAGACCACACCTTTGCTTCAAATTCGGGGTGTAAGACCAAGTCAACTCTAGAGCTCCTGGGGGGTTGGCTAAGGTTTCCATGGAGACTGCATCACATTCTAGCTTCTCCCTTTGCCCCATCCTGTCTTCTTCCCCCTTTTTCTACTTTCACAGCTGCACATACCAAAGATCCTCCTTTTCAGAGTCCTACATACTATCTCCCACTCCAGGGTCTGCTTCTTT